GGTCCTAGGCACTATAATGTGCTAGTCACAACAGTGTAATGCGATATAAGAAATGCAGTTTACTAATAGAACGAACGATATTGTTACTTACTCTCATAACTTACTCTCTTGTTAGATCTTAATTGATAACATAGACTCTGCATGCTGCGAGAGTAAAAAGAGCAAAATTACTTATGAATCGTTATCATTTCCAGCCACAAATAAGAGGAGAACAGTGAAACGAGAGTAAAAAGATTCAGATTACTCAAGGATCGACATTGTAGTAGGTGTGCAACATTTTTATCTTTTATGGAATCGCAGCAAAATTTATTGAAAAGAATATTCATTGGTGCCAATGACATGTCAGCATACCCACTATAACACTTATATCTTGTTGGATATATCTTCATGAAATCGCTAAATTATTTTCAATTTAAGATCAACGTTAAGTGAGCAAGTCTTGAGAGTTGAAGACGTTGAAGACGTTGCTCTAAGAAAAAGTTTTTGAAACGTTAGTTGCAGGGAAAACTGATAATTTTGATAATCGAGTAGAGCAAAGTTGGAGAGAGCGAGCATGTAATAAAGATATGAGCAACAGATTTTAACGTCCAGCGTCGAACACTAATTAAAGATTGCCGGTACTGGAATTTTCATTACATAGTTACATAGTTATATTATTCCAATAGTGTTACTGTTTACATATTAACTTAAATCTGATAATTAATCTAGTTATTCGTGCAAGTGATTGAATTTATCGTATTTAAATGAACTCAAAAGAAACAATAGCTAAAATTGTCACAATTTTTTTTTATAATTTGAACACGTAAAGTTTTTTATGCAGGTCAAATTTTCACTGGTATATTTCATATCTCAAGAAGTTCCCACATTCACATTATCAACAATTACTTTTAATTTCACAAAAAATTCAAAAGTGACTGACTTTCTTGATATATAAAAGAAAGACATCCGACATTCAGCAGATAAGAACTCAATCCAAATACTAAGGACCCCACTATGTCTTATCAACATTGTTAACCGAAACATATGGTTTAATAAATCAATCGACGACGGTGGTTTAAAATCGCATTGAAAGCATTGAAAAATATATTTTGATGCGTTTGCACTTTGTACTCGTTGAGTGGTGAGTACAGCGCGCGCTCGCTCACTCACTACATTTCCACTGACCTTCACAGTAGTCAATTGTCTTCGTTTATCGTTGAATTGTTGAGTTGTTGAGAATTCAAATTTAAAATTTAAAAACATTTATAGAAATAATAATAACTGAATTATGCTGAATTTCCATTAAAATTATGAGAATTTTAATTAAAACTTTAGCCACAGCCACAGCCACAGCTACAGCCAAAGCCACAAGCTGATAGCTGATAAGCAAGCGAGCGTCTGAGATTTGAGAAATACCAGCGAGTAGCAACAATGCAGCGAATAAAATTGTTGATGGATCGCAGAGCTCCACATGAGTGATCTATTTGTGAAATGATTTTATAATTTCATAAATAAATCTATTGCTAATTTATTTAACGAAAATATTTGTGTAAATTTGCGATGCGAACGATAATTCGAAGTTCTCACATGCTTTGTGATAAAAATAAATAGAAAAAAAAAAATTTTATTGAAATTTCAGCAAAAAGCGGCACGCGCAACACTCGATTCAAGTCTGCAGTTTTTAACACTTATGCACAAGAAAAACTAATGAAATAATTAAAAATATGTTTATTATTGTTTTTTATAAATAAAATAGTAAATAATTTAAATTAAATACATAGTTAAAGTTGGTTTGTGTGTAAACAGGCTCGGCTAAAACAAGTAGAAAATTCCATGTATGCAATGTTTTCCTAATGTAAGACATATTAGTTTTTTTTTTTTTCTGATTCTATAAAGTTTAATTTCTTTCTTCCCCACCAACATGCCTATTTCCCTTATAATTTTATGAAGACTTTCCTGCAAATTTTTTTTTCTTTATTTTATATCATTTATTTATATATATATTTTTTTTTTTTTTTGTATTTTGGAATCTTATTGTCGTGTTGCTTTTCTTTGCATTTCTCTCTTGCTTACTCGCTCTCTCACTCTCTCTCTCTCCTCTCAATCAAAATCTCATATCTTTACTCTCATAATATTTTACACATTGTGTTACTTTTTATTACATTCCACCTCGCAACACCCCAAACCCCACTAATCAAACTACCATACAATATTGTTATAGTCGAAAGAGAAATCTTTTAATTTTTTTTATTTTGTTTTTTTTTTTGTTGTACTAAACGTACTTCTTATGTGCCGTCGTCGCCGTCGCACCTTTTTAAATATGTATTTATTTTCTTGTATATTTACTTTTAAAAGACAATTGCAAATTTTATTTAAATAAACACTTGCTTTAATTTATTTATTAATTAGAATTCGCATATTTCTCATTTTTAAGAATTTTTTAATATATTTTTCATAAATTTTTTGAAATTTTTATGTATATTTCTAGCAGAATTAAAAATTTCGCGTAGACGGAGCAACTGCGACTAAAATCGTCAATCAGAAATTTCTTCACCGTTTTCAGTTTTTTGCTTGTTTGCTGCGTGTATGCTTTATGTGTCTCTATTTTGTTCTCTCTGTTGTTTTGTGGCCTTTTTCTTTTTACTTGTTTTTCGCTTGTTGTCAATTTAATTCAAGCGAATTCATTTAGAGTTACCAATGCGAACAATTATTTATAATTGCAATTTATTACTTATTACATGGAAAAATCATAATAAGCAAGTGAAAGCAAACAACATACAATATAAGATTTAGATATGCATCAAAATATTTAATAGTATTAATAACCATTTGAAAGCCCATTTGAAATTAATTTATAAAATCAAAAAAAAAAAAAAAAAGAAACTACAAACAATATTGAATTGTTATTAAAATAAAACAATATCTAAAAACATCCATAAAATAGGTTTAATATACAACATATGACACACTCGTATTTATGTACATATATATATTTCCAATATACTGCGTATTATTCAAATTAAAATTATTATTATTTTTATTAAATAAAATTAGTAAAAGTAACTGATTTTATATTAAGTAGTGTAAATATAATAAAACATATTTAAAAAGAATTACGAAAATCAAATTAAAAAATTAAAAAAATTTAAAGATAAATGCCATATATATTTCTTACTATAATAAAATATTACTTTACTTTTTAACTATATGAAATAATGAAAAGAATAATAAAAATTTCAAAAATTAGAAGTACAAAATATGCAGAAGAAATTATAAACAATAGTAAATGAAACTATATAATATATTTTAAGTAATTTATAAATTATAATAACATGAATAAACAGCTAATAAAAGTTATTGCTATTCATAAAAAAAAGAGAATAAAATTATATTATTTTCTTTAAAAAAATCTTTAAAAAAATCAATATTAATCTTGAAAACAATACAAATAGAAAAATAAAGTATTATACATATATATACAATATTGTATATAGTATATGTTAATATTAAAATTATAAAAATAACACAGATAGCTAAAAATTATTTGTATTAAGATAGATATATAAAGAACTGTATTGAAATAATAAATAACTTTAGGCAGAACTTTAGAAAGTATGAATATATCAGAAGTGAAACTAGAAAACTATTTTTTATATATCGAAAATACACAATTTACTAAATATCCAAACAAATTAATTTGGATAACTATTTTGCAAGAATATTTTTCGTAATATATTCATTTTTACCTTCACTGAACATCAAAATGTATTCATAACAAGAGCAATCAACGAAAAATTGCGACAATATGAAATGTCAAAATTGTAAAATACAAAAACAATACACATATTCAATTAATAATTTTTTTAGGTATCCCTTTCGCACCCATACAGAAGCAGTAAACAATTCCGATTATTTACAATCATCAATTCACAGTAGATAATTCGCCGCAGAAAGGAACAAATTATTTTGCTGCACATCTGTTTTATTTATAAAACAACTTTCTGCATTAGTATGGATATTATTTAATGAATTGAAAATGACAATTAGGCTGTAAAAATTTTTTAAGTTTGGATTTAAGAAAACTGAAATATTGTTAAACACTCTTTACTTGCTCCCTCACAGTTTATTGCCCCCAAAAGTGGGTGGGATTTTTTATTTATCCATTCACACATTTGACACAATTTCAATTATTTTGCAAGGAAAAATTAGGAAAACAGTTAAGGAATAACAGATTTTATATAAAGTACTCAATTACTTTTGATAACATTTCATAAACATTATTTTTATACGCATTGATTCAATTTTGCTTAAAGCTTAATATTAAAATAAAATATTTTTGTTTATATTTATTTATATTTTCGAAGCATTGCACACATTCAATTTGGAAACAAATCAAAAGAGAAGAAGAAGAAATTGCAAGAAACACGAAAAGTAGTTTTTTTCCCGTTCATTCATTTTTATGCTTTCTATTTACATGATTTGACCGTACTTTCATAGAACAAGAACACACATTGCACACTTTGTTGAACATTTTTGGATTTTATTCTAATTTATATATAATATTTTAATTTATTAATAAGTGTTTATGTTATATGATATTAATATGAAATTAATATGAATTTCCGAAATGAAAATCAACCGAACACGCAAAGTTCGCCATTTTCTATTTTTTGTATGTCTCTTTCAATATGTTTCTTTCATATGTTCGAAGTGTTGAATGTATGAGGGAAAAATTGTTGCTGGAGTTGTGTGCGGCTTTTAATTCGCCATTAATTACTCTTGTTGACTCATTCACTTATGTCATTTAGTTCGTTCAAATCAGTTAAAGAGCGAGTGAGTTAACATATTGCTTGTTGCATTCGCGGTCATTGCCATATTCCTAAATTCGCTTAGAGTATGTTCAGTCTGTGAGTATTGTTCTTAACTTTTGTTATTTTTGTTATTTATTAAATATGTCATATTTTACTTATCAAATTTAATTTGTCAAATCAAATTTTTGTCATATTATTATACATAGTATAGAATAATATATTTTCATTGGTATGTGTTGCATTTTTTTTTGTGCGTTAAGTCAACGGAATTATAAGTGAGAGGTGAAGGTTTAGGTAAGTTAATTGTCTATTTTATATAATAGATATGAATGAAATGAATTGTATATATTGGACATACATTATACAATCAAATATGTAGCGCTAGCTGATCAAGATCTCATACAGATCTGTAAACATACTAAAAAATACACAATTCGAATTTAATTAATTAATTTTTATGTTTCAATTGATGAAATATTGGCATTGGTAAATAGGAGATCTTCATTTTGACATAAGCACTTATTGGATCCACTAAATGGCTAGAAATTGTCTTCTATCTAGAAATTGCTGTTGAATAGTATAAAAAATTAAGAAACTATTGTCTATCGATTCCTTACAGGGAATCGTATCTTGTTATAGTTATGGGCAATACGATGCAAGTTGATTATAATTTTCGGTATCGTAGAATTAATCTAACTGTGATGGCCCAGTTAACATAAATGTCGATAAACTGATTGTATGTTATTTTTTAAAATTATAGCAAAAATTTCGTCACGACAAGATTTTAGATATTTGTGTTGTGAATATTTAAAATTGACAGGACAATTAACTAGAAAGTAAAGAGATATATCTAGCCTCTAACTAAATTGACCCAAAACTTGCATAATAATATTTCTATTGTCTATATTCTGATGTCAGTACACATATTAGTCAATTGCAGTTTCTAATATCTAACAGATATCTAATGTTAAGAATAGAACAATGTTTTTTTTAGATGTTTGACAATAGAGGCCCATATGGGAATAGCTTTCGATCACAGTTTTAATAACAACATAACTTATTGGTTACGAATGTCATTACCCCCTTATCTAAGCCTCTGGCTATGAGATATACCAACTTTCTGGGTTTAACCTATATTTAGTATCAATACATACTACAGTAATGAGACACTTATTATCAGCCAAGATGGCTGTCTGACCAAGAAGGGTTATGTTTTTCTAAATAATGATAAAAATGAATTTAGTTGCTACATAGATGTTTATTCAAGAGAGGTTTGTATTGAAAAAGTTTTTACTATATTGTGTCCATAGTATCGTGTAACTATAACATCAATATATACTATAATTACTATATCGTCAGTCAATGCTTGTTAGTTCAAGAGGGATGTCCGACCAAAAGTGTTGTGCTGTTCCAAATTAGTAGGGATGTCGGTACAATAGAGAAATGCGTTGGGGAAATGTTCACTATATTAAGTCCATTTTACATTTGAACTACTAATGAACTTTGTGAGTAGAAGAAAAAACTACTAGTTAGCAGTTCATTTGACCGACATGTATATAATTGCATTCATAATTAACAAATAATGTTATTTTGTATATAATGGAGTTGTTGCCTTGTGTGTCAAAAACAATATAACATTTCTCTAGTTAATAATAAAAATAAAGTACCAGCAATTTGGACTGACAGACGGAGGGTTATGTCAAAATTTTTACGCATTTTTATGTATGTATATCATGGTTAAATATAGAGTTTGAATGAATAATATTGAGCAACTTTTGATCCAATTTTGTATAAAATAGTATAATTAATTGAAAATAATGAGTATATGAGACGAACAGTCCTTGACAGTCAATATTTTTTACTTAACTTAATCGTTCTTCTATATATTTTTTACCGCGGATTAGAATCATTGGCGTTCGTGCAAAGCTGAAACGACTTCTAAATGACACCCTAATTTAAGACAAAATGAACCAACTTGACAAGTCCACAAACTTGGCCGAGTTCCTAATTTTGCCAAATGACAACTCGCTGTGACAGTTCGGCAAGAAAATGTTCCCTAAACATTTTGAATTTTTTGGCTAATAATGGACACTGACAAATAAGGTGAAGTGTAGTTTCCTTCTCATCCGAGGTGCCACAACTCCGTTAAATATTTTTTTCGGATAGACCCAGTCTTATAGCTTGTCTTTCTAGTTCGTATTAACCTGTCAGCACTGATATCATAATGCTAACCAAGTTAAACCTTAGTTAAAGCAGCTGACACATTCGTTTCTTCTCCAACTTGACCCGGTCGACCTTGATATCTGACAGGAGGATTTAACCGCCCAAGTATGTTTAGCTATCCTTAAATATTTTTGTTTGACTGCCAGTTGGGTTGTTGCAAGTGAATGTCAGAGAGCAGAGTGCTTGCCTTGCGACGCTCGTCTGTCCAGCAGTTGTCAGAGATGTTCCTGTGGGCAAGTACCTATGTGCGTTGGACACTGATATACCTAGCTAACTCGTTAAGAGAAGCCCAACATTGTCAGACGGTTAAGAATGTAGCTGTAGCACTTATCAGAAATTTGATAGGAGTTTACGATATTTACATCCTGAATCCCATCATTCTACGTAATGAACAGCCATTACTTCTGCCTTAAAAGCACTTCAATGGTTCGGTAGTCAAAGCTTGGTGCTAAGAGGCAGTTTATAGGAACTGGGTTTAGGATCTAGTTTGGAAAAGTTTCTTAATTCGATCGTGCTTTTAATGACGATCTTTTAGATACATACCTATATTAAGTTGTGCAGTTGTGCCATATATTTCTATCTATTTTTTCCACGTTTTTCCACCCTCATTCAGCTGTTTAGTTAAATTATATTCATGGCGGTGTACTGCTTTTCAACCGAAACCTTTGACTTTTTAGCTTAATTGAACCGATCAACGAACCGAGCCGTTTGGCTTTTCAAATTCTGCTTGAGACCGTTGTAACCTTATAAAGCATCAGTCCGGAAATTTATACAGGTAATAGTCTTGGTTATAATAGATGTTGTTAGGATGGAAGTAGTTTCACAATATTTCACAATATCTGGAGTCCAATTTGCTTTAAGAGTATTCACATAATTGTTATGTTGAAGCTATTTGAGCCAGTGCACTTGAGCAGCTTTACTCTTTCTTAACTCGAGATATTATCAAAACCCCTCTTTACGCCTTGACTGGATTATTGTTTATTACTTCATCGGAAGTGAAGTATTCACATAAGCAACATACATTTATAATCATAACCATTTTGATCATTTTAATTTTAAGGATCACATTTTTAAATTAATTAGGTACATATTTCTCTCTTCCTTCTTTTAGGAAAATTTGATATTTTGCATCTTATTGAATCCTCCATTCCATTGTCGGCATCCTTTATTCTATTTAAAGATTAAATAACAAGGTATGTTCTGATATTTTAAAATATTTCTAATACAATCACAAAGTTTTTGAAATCAATTGAAATAAAATATTTTTCTGTTATATCCAAATAGTATCACAATGTGTATTTTATTCAAATGCTTTGATCTGCCATTAAGGGATTTTATTGAATTCTGGTTCATTATATTTCTGGTGAACTACCTTGTGGATGTGTTGCGGAGATGTTTAAATAATGTAAGTGAATTATGTAAAGTATTGTTTAATAAAATTAATAGCGTGCTTTTCCGTTCGTTAGGAACAGAACAATCAAGCAGAACACCAGGTACGGCCTCATATTCCAGCACAACAACAATTACAAGGACAATCACAAGTTCTGGCCCTACCACAAATCCATGCGGCACAGCATAATCATGTCCAACCAGAAAACCGTATAGCAGGTCAAGCGAATAACGCCATTCAAAATTATCAATATGTGCCAGTTGTTGATATAGTTCCACATAGATCTGGGGATATTGACTTGTTGATATACAATAATGGTAAGCAGATAGCAATAAGAATCAAAAACAAATAAATTGCTGGAAATTGCTACTCCCAAAATTTTAAGTACAGTAAATTCGAAGTTATCAGAAGTACCATAATGATATATATACAAATATCATATTGGGACAGATATCATCATGTCATTCGTAGAAGAAATTTGGTATTCAAAATTTGAAATTCTCAATTTGGGTAAGAAACGAGCTCCAGAACTTCGATTCGTATTTAAAAACTTTGATATTTTTTTGAAGTAAGTACCGTTCCGTAAGTAATTTAATTTTTAATTTTTAATTTTAAGAACATTTAAATACAAAATATTCAAAATTTAATTTGATGGACGCGTCGAAACAGATAAAAATCTACTTTCGAAAAAATTGAAATTTTTTCAGGTGAGAACCTATTAAAAATTCATGCACCTGCAATCGAAGATTGTTTTTATAAAAACCTGATAACTATTAATTTAATGCATATCATTCACTTGTTTTGGATATATCGCCTTCTTTCATCCTCATCTCTCACTGACGCATTTAGCCCCTATCACCCTTTTACTATGTGATGAACTTTGTTTTTCGCTGCTCGACTTTTCTCACTTGAAATATACTTCGTCTGTCTCAGAAAGTAGTTTTTTATTTAAGAATTTATCTGGCTGATTATATCTGATTAATAGTACCGTAGTTTAAACCGTGCTCTATTACGTACAGTCGTGTATTATTAAATGAATTAAATAGCTGTCGTCAATTGCGCATGATCATTATCTTTTCTTTATCTTATCTTTTCATTATCTTATCTTGGTTCCAAGAACGGTCGGGTCTTCATCCCGGAGCCACTCGTCATCAACGATGACCAAGAACCGTTCAACATCCCCCAATAGGGCTCCACAAGCAAGTCCCGGCGTGTTACAACAACAACAACATCACCTTTAAAATATATTGGCCAGAACAATTCTCAGGCATAAAACTTTGGATGCATGGACTTTAGAATTTGTAGTGGATTAGACGTATCAAGCACTTATATCGTTCGAAGGGTAGCCACTTACCATAATCCCTACCAAAGACCTAAAGAAGAATACTAGATGCTGTGTTTGTCGTCACGGGGTTCATATGAACTACGCATGTACTCCAGCTCCCAAAAGAGTCATATTGAATAGTGAAAAGGAACAGTTTATTAACATTTTGAAAAGCTCGACAAATTCTGGACTTTAAAAGCTAATTTTTTCATACAGTAAATATAATCAAGACCCGTTTTCACTGAAATTGAATGCTGTTAGAATCCAAGTATTTGAACAAAGTAACGAAAGAGAACCTACTGCTCTAAGACCAGTAATAGTTCATTCCCCACTCGAGACTTGGCTTACTTAAGCAGTTTTTCTTCTTTTTTTGCTAAAATACAACTTTGAAGTTGCTCTTCTATATTCAGAACAATGTAGTGGTCAAAAATATTAAACTATTCAACTGAATTGTCAGTTGACACCTAATAATACCTGAGGTTTCTGTTGCTCATATATAAAAAGTGTAAAGTAAAGTAATTGGTATTCTACTAAGTCTGAAATAGCTATAGATATGATTACTCCTATTTAACATTTAACTAATAACTATTTTACATTTTTCTACTAAAGTTCCTTCAATATATAATCCATAATATTCCAATAATAATATTCTTTTTTCATTTAAAGCTTGGATTCAACATTACAGGATGCTCGAGTCCGGTGCGATAAATTTGAAGAAGTGTTTATTCTAACTTGTATACACATTGTCGATAGGTCATTGCTGTATACAGGGGGATTTTTCCATTAATTTAACTACACAAGGTGTTGAGAGAGTAGCCGTTCATTTGTATTTTTTATCCTACGAAATAAATAGATACCCTCACCTCACTTGTGATTCCACACCATCTATATTTGTAAGTTTTATTGTTAATAAATTTAATAAAAATAAAATTAAAAAAGTTTTTTTTATATATCATAGTTATCATTATTTAAAATCATTTCTCTGTCCCAGTGTTCTGCTATGGAACATAAACTGAAAGCATTATGTTAGATGAGCACACAGAGCTGTTGTAATTAAAAAAAGTTAAAAAGGGGTTGAAAAAAAGAAAATTCTAGTAGTCAAAGGGATATATATATATATATACATATTTCTTAATTTTTCGTTCTTCCCGGATTTTAATCAAAGTCTTATAACAATACTGAACTAATTTTCTGGCAATTCTGCAACATGATGCACGGAAATAAGACATTACTTCGTAAATACCTTGTATTTAATATTTTTAAGGACTATGATCTGACAAATGGGTATCACAGAGAACGGCTTAGATCCTACGAAAATAATTAAGGTAGCTTTTTTGGCTTACTTGGTTAGTTAATGATTGTATTTTCGCTATTACGAATTGAACTTTTCATTCTTCGACCGTTTATTATCAATAAATTATCGCAACGGGTCTAGAAGGGGATTTTCAGTCTTAGAAATTTAAACAAATATTGATTGTAAATACAATTATTACAATCTCAAACTGTTATTACAATATGGCATCTTTAAGAAATTATATTATCTTTAGTGATATTAAACTAATGAGCTAGATTATATTTTCTTTATTTATAAAAACTTTTTTCCAGGAGTCGATTTGAAAACATTGTCATGTACAAAATCTTCTCATGCGATAACATCATACGTTTATCTATATATACATATTTCTACGCACGTTTATATGTCACCTCCGTCTGTCCATCCGGTTAGCTGGTCTTTTTAAAAAAGTGGTAGAGAGTATCAGCTGTTTTGCTAATATAAATTCTCTACAATTACTTTACTTTCTAACAAAATTATTAGGGTTAACAAAAGATTTTAATGGAGTACGTCTATAATTTGCTGCTTTGTCAATGTTAGTTCCATGGCCTTAAAGCCATGGCCTTAAAGCCAGTAAATTATACCTACTCAGGTATGTGATTGCTTAATTAATTCATATATATAATTTGTTCTGATCATATATGTATATAAATTGCAATACATGATTCCACAGAAAAAACAGAATTCTAATGAGTAGTATAAAGAGAGGAAGCTATTTTAATATATACATTTGCACTTAAAATTTAAAGTTAGGTGTTTCTCGAGAATCTTCGGTTTTTAATCTTAACTTCATAGGTATATCATAATTTCATTAGTAATAATGTTTAATCTTAATGAGCCTCCACCCAAATTTTTGCTAACAATTAAGAAACAAATTTAATTAAAAGACCACGAAAAACCTTCTGAGCTCTCCATAGCAGTAAGAAGACCATTCGATTACATTAATTACATTCGCCATTAGATGCGAATGGATTCGCAGTTCCGCACAACATGTGAACTTATTCAGGCATAATATAGGTAATTTTTTATGGGTCTATTGTTAATATAATTTCCTTGGATTAATTCAGAAAATATGACACTGTCAAGACGACAACTGATCTTTAGGTCAGATAACATGTTTCAGTTACAACAATTATGTTTCAAACAATTTATCATCCCATTCAATATTAAATATGTTGCTTAATTTTAAATATATATATTGACAAGTTATGTACTTGGATATCTACAAAGAATGAACATGCCGAGAGCAGTACGATTCCAACTGAGTCACTTGCTATTTACATGAACGGTTCTAAAATTGAACACAAGGTAGATAGCGGGGTACTGCAATTAATTAGGTCTTAAGCAATTTTCGACTAGCAAATTATTCTAGCAGTAAAATATTCTGCTGTATACATTAGAATTAAGTTTTGTGAACTTAAAATATAACACTGGCCCATGTTGATATCCCAAGAAATTGCTATATCAATCAATATATCAACATAAATCGTCTTATCGTATATCGTCTCATTATAATTGACATTTGAGCAAGAAGCGATGTCCGTCGATAAATTACAAATATATAAAGGCAGGTCAACCTGCATTTTAAAGAACAAAGTTTCCATTATATATGCACGGAAATAAATCGGAAGTTTTGTACGGAGTAAGTGAGTAAATTTTTATTCTAGAAGATTACAGTAGGAACAGTGGAAAAATTGAGGAAATGTCTTCGGAAGATGGCTTTGTAACGAAATTAGTTTAATTGGTGTCCAGATAAAGAGTCACCTAGACCTGAAATAGTGACATTAGACTTATCCAGCGATCACCGTTTAAAGGAGTTTCTTTATTACAATTTATATTTGAAAATTATTTATATAATAAGTTCGTTTCTTAGTGTAGAATAGAGGAAGTCTACAATAATGATTAGAAATTAGTTTTATAATATAATATATAATGTATTGCAAAGAGTTTGTAGCCTGCATCAACTTCATGGCTGCAACAGGTCACCATATAATAAAATACGGATAATTGTGACAGGAGAGATATTGATCTAACATAATCGCTTATAGGTGATATATTTGTTTTAAAGTAAATAAAACTTCGTTAAGTTTTGCAAGTTCAATGGTTTAAAATCATCGACAAGTGTTTCGGATAGTCAGTCGGGATATGGAGAATATTCTTTTAAATGACGAATGCATCAACAAATTGCTTTACTTTAACAGACAAGTGCACTATTCTGAAAAGTTAAGCGTTAGATGGCGCCAAATCAGATGAATATGAGTAGTGGTTGATATTGCTAAGGGTTGTAATGGCCAATATATAACCTCTTTAAAAAAACACTCTTTCACAAAACACTATTTGCTTTACAAGGCTTTTTATATATTGACCAGATAGAATTATTTGTTGAACAAAAAATATTATATTTTACAACTTAGAGCAGTAAATTGGAGTTGATTATAAGTGCATGAAGTCTAATACTTTAGTGCCAGTGCTCTTGGCATTAGGATAAAATATTAATAAACCTCAACCTGTACTCCTACAACAAATCATCAACGGATGACACAGTATTCTACAGCGTTTTCAAGGACAAAATCAAGTATTTCAAAGTAAATAAATGCCGTTTAGTGTGGATAGTTGGCTCTAAACGGGACACTACCATAACTTTTGTGGTAGTATCTCATTTTCGCTTTTCAATCTTGACTAATTTATTTCATATCTGTTTTTAAGGCAAAAGCTTACGCTATCAAAGCTGCCTTCAAGTACGCAATCGCTTAAAAATGGAAGTATAAGCCATCACTAATCTCCTATCATAATAGTATGGTCATCCTCAGGTCAAGGGGTCTGCTGTCGACCTACTTCCAAAAACTAACAATAATGTGGAACTACGAACATACAGGTTAAATCTCTTGCACAGGTTTTCAACTTTCGAAAGTGTAAGTGCTTAAGCCTTGCATATTACTACCATAGTCCCCAGTGTTTTTGAAAGTTACGTTGTTTTGACAGCAATATTCTTTTAATCGAACTGAACTGCTGGTCCACTTAAGAGGGCTTTTATAATATTGCTTTTGATTAAAATACAAGCAATTTGTAGAGTTAATATAACTTTTCGTTTAAAAGAATATTCTTTGTATGAAGAATGAAAACTATGGATACACAACTTCATACCTTCTGCTCAATAAGTACCTGGATTTTGTTAACTACTCTTTAAGTAATAGACCTTTTTCAAAAATTTATTTTTGTTATGTTAGTACATCCATTCTTTCTTGACATATGGTACAAATTTTAGCGCCATCTGTCAATTAGTCTGTTTACAGCAGCTGTTAATGTGAGACTACCTCAAGTGCATTTAGCGATTTTTACTATGGAAAATTCAGTTGAACAACGAGTTTGTTTGAAGTTTTGTGTTTTGAACGAAATTTCATGTGTTGAAGCATTGAAAATGGTGCAGAAACCTTACGGGGACTCTTCTATGTCTCGAATACAGGCATACGAGTGGTATAAATCGTTCAAAGAGGGTCGTGCCTCGTTCAAATACCGAAGAAAACGTGGCAAAAATCAAGAAAATTGTGCTGGAAGACCGTCGTATGACTGAAAGGGAGATTGCTCGTGACTTAAACATCTCAAATGGATCCGTTCATCACCTTTTATATAATATATTGGGTATGAGACGCGTTGCAGCTCGACTTGTAAAGAAACACCTCGATTTTTTGCAAAAAGAATACCGAAAGAACGTGCGTGATGAAATGATTTTTGAGCATGGAAACGACTCTACATTCATGAAACGCATCATAACAGATGATGAGACATGGGTTTATGAGTATGACGTCGAAACCAGTCAACAATCGAGCGAATGACGCTTCGAAAACGAACCAAAACCCAAAAAACCGCGTAAAAGTCGCTCAAAAATTAAAGTTATGCTCACTGTTTTTTTCGACTACCTCGGTGTTGTTCATTACGAATTCTTGCCAGAGGGTCATACCATCAACAAAGAATATTACCTCGCCGTTATGTAGCATTTGCGTGAGTTCATCCGTAAGAAAAGACCAGATTTGTGGAAAGCCAACAATTGGATTCTTCACCACGACAATGGTCCATCGCACACGGCTCTTGTTGTACGCGATTTTTTGACCAAATACGGCTGTCAACACCACTGTCATCGCTCAGGCACCATATTCGCCAGATCTGGATCCGTTCGACTTTTTCCTGTTCCCGAAACTCAAATTGCCCCTTCGTGTTAAGCGTTTTGAATCGATTAAATCGGTAAAAGAGAATTCGCCGAAGGAACTAAAAGTCATACTTTCACCTACGAAAAGTGTATGGAAGATTAGGTTAAGCGTTCGCATATGTGCGTCGTTTCAGAAGGAGCATATTTTGAAGAAGATATAATAAATTTGGAATAAAATTTAAATTTGTGTGTTTTATTTACAAAATCCGGGTACTTATTGAGCAGAAGGTACGTCTATAAAAGACGTGTAACAAAGACGTTTAACAAAGTTTTTGTAGTATTATTTTTTTTTGCTTATTCCCATTTCTAATTAAAATCCATCGAACTAATTAGCTCCTACCTCAATAAATCACTGAATTAAGGGT